GGCAAAATGTCACCAAAAATCTTTTTGTCCTTCTTTGATTCAGTTTTATATCATATGAGTAAATTAAAAGGAACTTGGTGAAAATGACATAGGAAACCACGGCAATCGAGTGACTGGAGCTGAGACTGCCTTATTGGTACCATGTTTGCACAACTATGCTCTAGCTCAAATCACAGGCACCTGACACCTTTAAGAAATGCATATGTTTCTGGGCATAAGAAACAGACAAACAAAAAATATGAGCAATAACATGGCTTTTAGCAGTTACATTTATCTGCAGTGGTGTTGAGCTGTGGCTAAAAATGTGTGACTTACTCTAAGGGCTATGCAAATATAAGCATTATATATTCCTATGGTTTGTGCATTTTTAAAAATTGCACAAATGGCAAAATTGGTAAGTGGAAAAGCAAAACCATAAGGTGCCCTAGGAAATATGTTCCTGCGGAGGGCAAACAAAAACACACCCAAGTGCCTTTTTCAACATAGGATTTGCGTTTTCTTAGCAGAATAAACTCTCTGCCTTGGCTCTCTGTGCTCTCACTGGAGGTCATGTCTAGTGACAACTGGGAGCTGAGGCTGGAGCCTCTCTTGCCTTTTTAGGTTATGAGGGTCTCTGTGTGTTTAGGATAATATGATTGACGGCTCCACTCCGGCCCCAATTAGCACCCTATAATTTATTAGCTTCTGCTTTCAGATTATGCGTTAACTTCACAAATATTTCAACCACGGAAACAGCAGCTATCAAGTGTCTCTTTCCTGATCCAGCTCAGTGCGGCTGCAGTTAAATACACGGAGGGAGCTGTGTAGGTCTGTCAAGAGAGAATAATCATTTGTGTCTGTGTGCGGCTGGCGCTGTCGTGGCCTGTCTTTAGGACTTCATTGGTGGAAAAAAATAGTTGTTCCACTGCATTAGGCTGTAGGACTTGGTCCCTTCTGCAGGGGTATAGTGTGGGATTGGAAGCTAGCACGCTGGTTCCTCTGGAGAGGGTCTGTGCTTGCCTGATTCTGCTGCTTGCATGAACATTTACGCTCCACATACGTGCGGGCAGCACTGACAGGAAAGTCTGGATCCCTCCTAGCTCCTTCCCTTTGCTTCCTTTTGCATGAGGTCGATGGAGCAGGTTTGGGAGAGGGCAGATGGAGGAAGGTGTGGAGGCAGGTTGCACCCTGAACTCTGGGAGCAGAGGAAAAGGGTGAGGAAGTTGGGAGCGGGGAGGAGGTTGAGTCCATGGGAATGAGGAGCAAGCTGCCCAGCACACCTGGGCCAGGTGACACAGGACAACTTAAGGGCTATCTGAGATGAGGAATGACATTTTCATTTCCTCTTTCTTCTCTTTCTTCTCCTTTCTTCTCTTTTTTTTTCTTTTTTTTTTTTTAATTTTCACCTTTCTTTTTTTTTTTTTTTTTTTTTTTTTTTTTTTTTTTTCTCTTTTTTTCTTTTTTTTTTTTTTTTTTTTTTTTTCTTTTTTTTTCCCTCCCTTTTCTTTCACTGCCCTTTATTTCTCCTACCTCCCTATGAAAAATCACCTAACCTATCAAATAAATACCTCAGTCCTGCAAATAATCACACTGCAGAGTCCATCTCCTTCTCCTGCTGCGACTGCTCCTCTGGGTGGCAGGCCAGGGAAGCCAGCCAGGACACCGCAGTGCCCTGGAGGAGCTGGCTCGCCTTCCTGCCATCAAAAGGGCATGTTAATTACAACCCCTGTCCAGAAAAAGGTGCATGAGAACTGTCACTCACACACTCCTGATGCACCCAAAACCACCCGTAGCATTTTCATCCGTTCTAGGAAGGGACCAACCTTTAAGCCCTCGCTAGAGCTTGTCATGAACTTAAATAGGACTTCAAAGGGGAAAGTGAGAAGGGATGGCAGCCCCTACTGACCTAAGGAGGAGACAGGGCAGATACATTTCTCTGGAGATGGGCAGCGCACAATCCGCAGGAGATGCAGAGGATTATTCAGCCCCTGCCTCTCCTCCCTGCCTCCTCTTCCAGAGGCTCACATGGAAAAAAAGCACTGGAAAAGAAGGCAGGAAGTAGGAAACAATATCTTAAAGCTAGCTCGCATTAGCCAACTGTGTCTACCTTGTGCCTTCCCTGCGCTTTGCTAAGCTTCAGTTATTTTCCACACGGGAAAGAAATGTCTGCAGCGAATCTAGCCCAAGCTCGCTTTACAAACCCTTAAAGGTTGCTCACGCTCAGCCCCGGCAGATGCTCTGCCCGATCCCGCTGCCGCAGCACTGCCACGAAGGCCCCGGCTCTGCCTCCCGCCCAGGCTCGGCACACAGGTCAGGAGACACGCGGGCTTCTTGCCGCCGGGCTAGTTTGTGTGCGGGCTCTCCCAGCACAAGCACCACGGCGCTTATCCAGGCGCCACCTTCACAGGGAAGCTCCGTGTGGAGCTGCAGCATTGGGCGTTTATGGTCCTGCTCTTCTCTTGAATGACCAGCATGAGGCATAAAAGACAAATACATATATATATACATAATAGATATGCACACACATATATGAAGGAACTGCTCCTTTTGTGCCTCATTCATGATTAAGCAGCTAAGCTGGTGCTGAGGGGCAATCACCCATGGGTCTGCAGAATAACCTACATGCAGCAAATCTCTGCAGGGTTAGCCGGAGCAGGGCATGTAATTTTTCAGATTGCTCCTGACGGAGCAGGAGCACTTTTTAAGAGTGACTTCTAAAGTGTCTGATATGGTCTCAACTTTTTTATTTTACGGTCTCGACAAGTCACAGTCTCGACTTCGGGGTTTACTTGCTTTTACAATATAGCAATAAATGAGACCTTGGAGAGCAAGTGGTGATACCAGTGGTCATATCTATGTTTCATTAATTCTCATGCTCAAAATGGTCACAGTTGAAAGGAATTGTAAATGCCAATGAAGTAAATGGTGGGTTTTTGTTTACTGAACGTTTCCAAATACATTTTGGCTGTATTATCCAGTCCTCCTCCTCAGGAATTGTAAAGGAGAGGGGATAAAAAAGAAAGGAGAAAAAAAAAAAGAAAAGAAACCTTTGCAATGGAGGACAGTTAGCACTAGAGTCAGATTTTTTAAAAAACTTTTCAAAGTCTAAAAAACAGCAAGCAGGTGTTAACAAAATGTTACTGTCATCCCTAAGCTTCTGCAACAACAAAGTTAGTTTTTCATTACTTTTCCTCTGCAAAATGCTGCTGCTGTCATAACAGGAGCCTCTGAACATTTTTGGTTTAACTGGCACTATAAATCCTGAAGTCCTTTACTTGCCCTCTTGCAGCTTGTTTGGGATCTGTCTAATTGGAGACTAAGGAAGAAATTCTCCTGGGTATGTTTGGCTGAAAAAGTCACAGCAAGTCACCTGCTGCCATTTGCAGCAGGGGCTCTGGCTGGGGATGCTCTGCATATGCTGTATTCCAGAGCAGCTCCTTGCCAGCTCCCCTAATATTTACTCATGCTGCTTTATTTCACTCACACTATCAAGATTCCTATTGTTTCCCATAGGTGTAGTTAGCCTAGACACCTAGGAGAGGCAAGTTAACTATTCATAACTCCATTGCCAAATGCGGTGCACATTAGCAGCAAATCTTCGCTGCTGCATTGTGCCAGAGCATCGGGATGTGACAAACTCACCCGACATAGCACAAAAATGTATTTTCTACTGCATCTCTTACTGCAGGGCAGCTGCTTCTCCCAGTGTCAAAAAGGTGATGTTAGGACTCTCCAGCTGAACACACTGAACTTTGTCAGTCTTCAAATACATTACTTTCTTTTTTAAAAAAGAAGAACAAAACAAAACATGCTGCTGATGAGATTATATTCTTTGCAGATAAAAAGCGAGCATTTAGGTAGAGGGAGTAATTGCCATTTCTGCATTGTTGTCATTAATTATTTACCACCCTAAATAGTTAAAATTTCATCTGTACTCTTGCATTTATTTCTTCTTTTGCCTTTATTGCTATATTTTATTCTCCTTGAGATAATATTTGGTTATTTTTTTTCAGWTAGGGTTTCTGTTCAATGCAAAGTAATAAAATAATTCACTTTATCCACTCTATAGGTTTCTAGCTGACGTTTCTAGCTTGCCTCGTTCCTCTTGTTTAATTCAAATTCCTCATAAAAGCACACAGGATGAAAGAAGAAGACACTTTTAATGTAGCTTTCCTACATTTAAATAGATATCTTATTTCCCTCTTCAAAAAAATTAAAGTGACAAAATGACAGCAACACATAGACAAGAGCAATATTAGAGGCAATCCAGACCTACAGTCCCTTATGTGCCTTTTTTTCTGGTGTTCCCCTTAAAGGCCGTCGGGTTGGGGTGGAGCTTTTTCTTCACATTTCTCTCCCCTTTCCCTTCTTTAATGGGATTTTTCTTTCACAATAAACTATTTCTCATAGAAAAAAAAAAACCAACAGATATATGTCCGATGCAAATGTTGTGCCAAACTCTGAGAAGTGCCACCTTGGTTTTCATATTTCTGGAGTATGAACAGTTGTCCCTGGAACAGCTGCATTTCTGTAAGCCCAAGGCAGGTGGCCCAAGCTAGACACTTGCCACTCATAACCACAAAGCTGAAAGATCTGACAGGTTTTTTGATTGTCCAAGAATGTCCATGTTTTCCCAATTTCTTCTCCTTTTACTTCTATAAAGTAAAAATCCAGTTCAAATTTGCTAAATAGTTTTCCCATTTTGCTTTCAAGAAATAATTTTCACTGCCATAAAAAAATATTCACACCACTAAAAAAAAATAAATTTCCTCTGTCCCCTGTAAGAAGACCAGTGGTTTTGCATCACCATCTGCAATGTCATTTGACTCTTTTAAAGTAGTCTGACTGCAGTCCTGGGTGCAGAGTTTGTTTAAATAAAAGTTCAACGTCTTTGGCTCTCCTCTTTCAACAGAAGTATTTCCCTCTCCAAAACGAGTCTAAAGTAGCATCCTTGCATTGCCAGGTTGTTTTAAGTCCCGTTGTCTTTTCCCGAGTTGCAGGGCCACAGTGGGCTTGGAAAAGGGCAAGGGGGGCAGGAGGCAGCAGATCAGCTCAGAAGGGATCCACCACAGAAGGAGTAACGTCGAGCTGCAAACCAAGACCAGAAGCTGTTACAAACTGACCCGATTTCAGCTCTGAATGTCACCATGTCTAACAGGCAGAGATCTACAGGGGAGAGCCGAGAGAAGAGAAGTGAAGGACAGCTCTAAAACCAGTATAGATCCTTGCTTTTATCCTGAGGCTGTAAACCTGAGAATGGAGAGAAAAAAAAAAAAAAAAAAAAAAAAAAAGGAAGAAGAAAAATAGGTATAGGCATTTAGGACAGAGGAAGACAAACTTTATTACTGCTGCATGAGACCAGAAACTCCTCCGCACTGGAAGACAGCAGCTCAGAGAAGAGCGCGAGCTAAAGCAGAGACGGACACACGGCCCGTTTTGCCAAGCGCGAGGCCACCGTGAAGAGCCCAGGGTGGATGGAGCAGCCAAACTGCAGCACGGAGCAATGCCTCCGAGCGCCGGCTTTCCTGTCTGCGGAACGACCTGCCCCTGCTGCCTGTGTCCCTGTCACCACCCCATTCCTCCCCACCACGGCCCCCACCTTGCATCCAGGCACCTCAGTGGGCAGCACCTGCTTACCGTTGTGCTTTCCTTCCAAAAAGGGGCAGGAAAAAGTAACCCAGCCCGACCCCAGTGTCAGCACTTCTACCCTGGAGGGCTCCATGGGCTCCTGAGTGTCAGCACTCGGAGGCCCATGGAGGCAGCAAACCCTTGAGGCATCTCAGTCCTGCTGCTACTCCTCAATGCAAGAGCAAGGTTAGGACCAGGACAAGAGACTCGCTTCTTCAGGGCACATTTGCAGCAAACCAAAGGTGCTGGGGGAACTGATGTTCCCTTATCCTTCCCCTTCCTCCCAAGTGCTTCCCAAGGGGCACACCAGGCCAGAGCTCCAGTGTCTCCCATGAGTCTCTCCCCTGCATTATTTCCCCAAAGCAGAACCACGGATCCCCCTTCACGAGGGCTACCTCCCTCTCACCTAAACAGTGACTTAAGCGAGCAGAGGTCCCCCCGAGGGGGTCTGAGAGAAGCCCTTACCTGCATCCACGTTGAGGCCGAGGCTCTGCGCCACGTCGCCTGTGGCGCTGGGGAAGGGTGCCGGCGTCGTCCAGGCGGCGGCGGCGGCGCCCGCCTCGCTCTTGCCCAACTCGCACTGCGGGCTGACGGGCGCGGGCACGGAGGCCGGCGTGAGGCGGTGCGGGCGGACGGAGGCGGCGGGCACGAGCAGCGAGCCGTAGCGCGGGTCGAAGTGGGGGCCGTAGACCTCGTGCATGGTGGCGGGGCGGGGGTAGGCGCCGCTCTGCGCGCCCAGGTAGGGGTGGTGGTGGTGGTGGTGGTGGTGGTGGGCATGGTGCCAGGGCTCGGGGCCGCCCTGGTGCAGGTGGCCGTGCAGCGAGGCCGGCGCGTAGGGGTCAGCGGTGGCAAAGGGCAGCTCGCCGTGGGCGGCTGCTGCCAGGGGGCTGCTCAGCGTGGCGGGGACGGATGAGGGCTGGTACGTGCTGTTCCAGAAGGACGGCGGGAAGCTGCGCTGGCTCATGGGGAAGGAGCCGTCTAGGGGGAGACAGTGGGAGGGGAAAATAAGCAGGAGCACCCATATCCTTCCCCAGCCCCCTGCCCCTTGCCAGGCACCTCACTCAGAAACAGGGCCTCCGGTTCCCCTTATCCCCCAGGCAAATGCCACGCACAAAGAATTGCTCTGTGCAAATACAGATGCCTTCCAGTTAAACATCTAGCAGACCATGGAAGACCAAGGGCTTATTCAGGAACCCGCAGTAAGTTGCTCCAGGTTTCTCTTGGTGGGGGGGGGAAAAAAAAA